ATATTCGTTTGTTTCCAGCCAAAATGTTTTCTTGCAAATTCTTTCTGGCCCAGCAGTTGGCTATTTGATCTTCAGCATGAAGCCACTTAGAGCAGATGTTGATAAAACTCACTAACTTAGAATACCTGCTCATGACAAGGAGATTATGCGGATAAGACAGATGAAGACGAAACCGTTGAGTGACGTCAAGTGACAGGCCGTCTCTCCAGTTGAACCTGAGTGCGAGTTGATGACTAGGACGTGTATTTGAGAGTGAGTTGGAGAAGACCATGTGAGGAAGCGATAAGTGAATATAGGCTATCCTGGAGTCAGTTAAAGCGTAACTCAGAGAGCAGAATCAACTGAAGATTTGTAGTTGAAGCCCTAGGTTCCACTCAGAACCTTAGAGTAAACCACTATTAATAATAATATTATTAATTGTGATATTAGAATAAGTTGAAAATGGTGGTGGGAAACAGAGAGCCCAAATTCACTTCACAACATCCAATGTTAGTGCATCTCATGTTGCTGCACACAAATCTCATGTGAGAATTACAAGATAATTCTAAGGATACAGCGAAACGTGATTCTCATCGCCTGTAAACATGTGAGTGTACTGAAACTGTTCTCACATAGCACATCTTCAATTTATTTTTTGATTAACACAGGATACTTCACTGAAGTACTCATTCATGTAAGTGCAATAAATCTCTTAGAAATAAGTAAATGAGAGAAGTTGGCGACCTTAGTAATATTGGAGTGTATTCGTGTATTGATGCACTGAAAATGGATGGTGAATTGTGTTGCTTTTATTTTGAGGAAATGGGGATTTGTTTGTGTGTCAACGCGTTGAACACGGTATAACAGTTTTTCACGAAATTCTTACTCACTTCATTCATATGCATTCCAGTGGAACGAACAGCTTAAAAAGTGATGTTTGAGATTCCAGATGCAATGTCTACGGCAGCGGTGATTCGGAGTGTCTTGTGAGGTTGTATGACTCCGGCCACGCGCTTAGTTCGCGAGTATCGTTCCACGCACTTGAACAAGCGACTATTCAACATCTGTTCCATTTCACCGTGAGTTTTCCCATCAGTGCAAATCTGCAGGGTTGAAAACTCAGTAACTTCCGTTGACGATTCGAGGTCATAGATCGTTCAGTCACTGTAGTTTAGCTCAATGACATCACACGCGAGTCTAACCCTCAGATTGAACCCGAAGAGACAACAACGACAACTTGGACTTTGGTGTCGGTGTGACATAAAGGAAATCATGTGAGGAAGAACTGAGAAGTTATGAGGTGACATGGAGTCATTCGGAAATATTTGTAAATAGGATTAGATAAATTCATACCACATCCTGACAGGATTATGAGATGGTCTGAATGGTGAACTTCTCTGGGAACAAGATGCATTCAGGAATGATGAACCACTTGAGAATATCAGAGCCACATTACGCAGCCTACAATGAACTGATGGACAATATTTGCCACCACTTGATCTGTGGTTTACTGTCTTCTTTCGATTGTGTCATGGAGAAGATCATGGCGGGAGGAAATGCTGTAGCCGTAAGCTGCATTCCGAACACAAGGTCGATTGGTACACTATTTCTGAATAACCTACGTCATATGCTCAATTTTCTTGCATAATCCTCAATAGTTTCTAATTTCCCCGACTGTGGAAGGCTTTGTGTTTGTGGGTGCGTTATCTCAAGTTGACATCCGTCCATCCTTCCATCTGAATAGCTGTCGAGATCTGATTATACTTAACAATACATCCTCTTTCCATTTCTTTCTCGAAATATACTTAGAAAGAAGAATCGACTCGGATCGGTTCTACTGGTCGGAATTCATGGACTTTTGGATCAATTCTCAGAGGCTGGACGGCCTACAACTGTATGTTGTGGCCTAGGTTTGAAACTCAGTGGGTGTGTACTGCTCAAGAATCTCGAAATGTTACAACTGCTCTAATTATTATCCTCACTTCAGCTGTGTATCAGATGCACCTTTTCACATCTTCACAAGTAATCGATGCATGTATTTGTTGCAGTCCCAGTAGACAGTTATGCGGTGTCTAAGAAGTTTAAGTTTAATGCCGTGTCTGACAACATCACAGAATGAAGTGTTCGAATTTACAAAGGATAGCAAAAGTTAGTATTCATTACTTCTACGACCCGATTTCGGCGTCAGTGGCACAGTGGTTAGGACTCTTGGCGACCATGCACATGGTCCGAGGTTCGATCCCCTGCCGACGAACACCTGATATCTATAATCGGCCCGCAAAAGTTTGGGTTACCGATATCCATGCTGAATATTCCATATTTGTACCAAAAAACAGTGTGGAATCAAGCTGTAAATCAAAAATAAAAAAATTTCAAGTTGGTTATTTATCTTACAAATTAACAAGTTGATTGGCTCAATTATATAACATTATTTTTTATTTTTTTATTTTTGATTACAGCCTGATTCCCCACTGTATTTTTGGTGTAAGTATGGAATTTTCAGCATAAGATGTAAGTAGCCCAAATTTTGCAGGCCAATCATAGATATCAGGTGTGCGTCGACAGGGGATCGAACCTCGCACCATATGCATGGTAGGCGAGAGTCATAGCCACTGTACCGCCAACGCACACAGACTCACCTACTGACCATTGAAGCGAATAAATAAGTAAATGAACCTTGAACTATGTGCGTAAACTATTTCCTGACTTGATGGAGTGAAATATTCCCATATTATGAATTTAAAGTCAATCTGAACGAAGGATATTCTTTTCAATAATTTCTCTTCAGGTTCCTACAGTTATAAAATAATATTTGTGATCGTTACTATAAAGGTCAGTTATGCGGGCAGATACATTTTTAACGTAGAATAACAGATTAGTTATGGGGTGTCTAACGACGTTTCGAGTAACTAACATGGTCAGCATCAAGATAAAACAACTTACTTGTGACAAACTACTTAAATAACTAAGTACCGATTATCCTACTGAATAACGGATTAACTGACTAACTTACTAACTGGATTGCCAGTTGACTTGCTGAGTGATTAACCAACTAAATATCTATCTCAATAACTAATCACCTAAACAAGCCACTCACTATCTCAGCGAATAACTAACTAAACCTCCAACTAACTCACCTCGATATAATCAAATGACTGACGAACTGACATTTCAAACTGATAACTAACTATCTTAATATCCAACTTAATAAATATATATATGTATAAAGCCTTGGCACTGTGGTAGTAAGTAATCCAATATTAGTTTGTTTATTAGATATATCACACCGTGAAGAAGTATTATATACTGGATGACAAGGTTTCGAACAAAATTTATTGTTCATAATCATATGTGTGCCTCAGCAGACGTAATAACGGATCTCTCAAAAGATCGATCCACCGGGAACGTACATGGAACGGACAACTAACCATTTTTTACAGTTGGGTGCCTATTTCCAGGAAAAGGAATTTAATCCATTTACTCTGCTTTAGGATAAGGAAACTTTGTAGTTCTGATTGCGTCGACTCAGAACTCGACTTCCGAAAGCCACACTCGCAGAAAACGGTTACCCTAACCGATTTATTGACAGCAACATGAAAGATCAGCAGTCTAAACTGGTCACCGACTCAGTTCCAAAGAAAACCTTATTCATGAACGTGGAATTCAAAGGAGATCAAGCTTCAGATAATAATAGAAATAATAATTTTTCCTTTACGTTCCCAGTGGAACATAGGGCCTCAAGCTAGTGGCTTGAAGTTTCTGTAGCAGTGTTTAAGTTTTACAGGATGGGTTGCTAGCCTCATGCCCAACCTTTCCTCTTTACCAGCATTTTTTCTGGCTTAGCGAGGTAAAGGAGTGCGTCGGCCGGGGATTGAACCTGGGACCATGTGCATAGTCGGCGAGAGTCCTAACCGCTATGCCCCCAACTGAATACCTTACCTTTTTATTCATTACCCATTAAATTACCATACCTGAAACAAATAATTACGTTTCAATTGTGTAACTATCTAACAGTGAAAGGACTAACTAAGCAACTCACCAATTCGATAATCAAATTACCTGTCTGACTAACCTGGAACTGGCTAACTCAAAATGCAGCAAACTAAATAGCTTTCCACCAACCAACTGAATAACTCATCAATTATTCAACTACTTAAATGCATATTTAATCAACGGACTAACTTATTATCCATCTTATCTTGTGCTGGCCAACTGAGCTTGGAAAAACTAACCCAATACTAACATGTGGAGAGAGCAGCCTGCTAACCAATTGGTAGACATTAATTTACGTCAATGTCTAGGTCGCTAATATTGGCCGTGAGGAAATATGGACAAGACTGATTCAACAACCAATCATAGCAGACTTAACGTGAGCAAATATGATTCGCAGATATATGGCTTAACTTTCTGAGAAGCCAGTCACAAGCAGTACAGAATAACCTTGGGCAAGAAACAACCAATCAGAAGACTGTGTTTGTCTGCTTGAATAAGCTATAATAATGTATATGAAATATATATGAATACGTGCTGATTTCCTAAACAGGGTATCTGTTGCCTGGCCCTTGTCTTCTGTTGTTACAAACACACTTATTTAATTTCTTACTTATTTACCTGCCTACTTACTTACTCACTCACTTTGTTATTTGCTTTCTCAATCACATGCCTAATTCATTTCTCACTTTCTTTGGGAACAGTGAAATCTAATACACAAACACTTAAGTGAATTATCCTGTGTTAATTTCAAATTAAACCCTTTAGAATTCTAATGTGTGGGAATTGTTTCAATATAGTTAGTTACACAGGCGTACAGCTAATTAATTACAAGCAATTGTGTTACTGTGTTCTCAAATTTCTCTTGTGATTTTCAAGGCCGTAAAACAAAATGCATACTAATATTAGATGTTATTATAAGTGCATCCTATTTCACACACACACTCTATCTCCCCCTCTCTCTCATTCTCCCTACCTATTTCCAAATGTCCAACTGTAGAGTATAAATAGCGCCATGATTTTAGTTGTTTGCTGTTTAGTTCAACATTGCTGAACAACAATAATAACATGAATAGGAGACATTGTCTGATACTGGCGTTTGTTTGGACCTTGCTTCAATGTAAGTGATTATCAGTGGTTTCATGTAACTTTGTATTGTACGTAGTGCACTTATTTATTATATGATTCCTCAGTTCTGTGATTTTGTTTAAGAGACGATACTGTGCTTAATTCCATTCAGTTCACGTGCGACACAACAGGTCCTTGTGCAACCGCCTGTGTCTCCTTTAACATGGTTAAACAATAAAGACGACTGTTTTGTTAACAACATGAATCACTGATGTCGATAGAATATCAATAGAAGTGCATCTGTAAGTGATAATATTCTGCGGCTTGTACTTTCGACACGACCATTCATGATTCCTGTCTGAAAGAGATGAAATACCATTGCAGGTCATCATCTATGAATGCATCTGTCTATCTACCTATCTATCTATTTATATATGTCTATCAATCCTGTTGCTCCTGTGGGGCCAGTTATATTAGTCGGTGTTCTAAAAACATAATTTTCCGTACTTCGAAACCCATACCAGTATGGTTAAATTAATCTGTTCACAAATTTCATACATTCGGTTCCCTTGATAAATTTTGATAGAGAAAGAAAGACCAGATTTGCAGTATAAAATGATATCATTCTATTTCACAGGTTTCCATCAGCTGCACACCACTACCTGAAATTACAATGGTTATAAATAATAACATTTCATACTTCATTGTTTGAAAGGTAATAGAGAAACCACTATAAGGTGAACGCATCTGGAATATAAGTATTATAATCTAAGTCACCATCAATTTATATACTGTCAATCTATGAAAAAAGAAAAAAAGGGTGGAGTGAGAGAAGACAGAAAACGGAAAAATCTAATAAACAGTGTCAACATGCCAGCTCAAGAAGATCAAAGTTCATCAATTTGAAAACTTGCTTAGTGAGTTGAACTCACTAGTGTGTATGACTAATCAGTGTAATGAAAGTGATATGGTCACCATGGGAGTGAGAGACTGACCACACTCTCTTTCTGTATGCATAAGTTTGGTGTGTGACGTTTGATTGCAACTGGTTCAGTAAATCGTAGTAGATTCGCTGTCCTTTGTATGTTTATCATTTTGAAGGATTTGGAAATCTCGACAAAATGACCCGTATCCACAAGGTGTCTGGTAATTGCACTTTGTAAATATCTGCTTCCTTTTAGGCATAAGGTTGTCAGAATATACTCTGAAAATCGGATAGAAGCCCTTCTTTCTGTCCTTTCAATGTACTTGCTGCCACTGGTACACGTACATTTATAAATGCAGTTGGAGGTAACATCAGCAGGTTACTTATCCAGTTTCGATTGCCTTATAAAGCATGTAGTACTGTATAGTGTCACCAGGTTGGCTTCAGGGAAACATCTCTTTATTGCTCCCTTCACTCTCTTTTCAATCTTTTGCGATACTGTTTCTACTTTGTATGGGAGGCAATTGAACGCTTTCTTCTTTTCAACTGTTGGAGACTTCTCTTTCTTTACTATACTTTAGGATAAGTTCTTTAGGATACCCATTTTTCTTAAGGCATTTTTCAACAAAGCCTAATACTTCTTCTACCTTGTTAGGCGAACATAACTTCCTGGCCCTTTCGTACAGTGTCCTTACTAGTCCCCGCTTATAGCTCAAAAGGCAGAAGCTGTTGTAGTGAAGGTATTTTCCGGTCCAGGTTTCTTTCCTGTAGATGAACTTTCTGACTGTTCCATCGTTTCTTCTTTTATACAGCAAATCTGGTCTTTCTTTCTCTATCAAAATCAATCTGTCTTGAGGACAGTTCAAAATGAGACCTCACTACATTACAAAATTGCTTAAAACAGCAGAGGCTATATGTGCCAAAGAAATAGCACCAGCCACTCTGCACCCTCCTGTAACTATCTGTGGAACCCACAAATTCCTTCATTCATTCTGTATTTTGTTCTCTTTCTCAATTTCTCTGATATTCACTGCAGTGTTAGGCAGATGAATATTATCACTGACAACTGCTATTTAACTGACTTATATCGGAAGTATTTGTTCAATTTCGTTTAAATAATAGTAATTGTGTTAATAGCAGTAATTCTTTAATTATTTTCGGTGAATACAACTCTAGATTCTGAGGGAATGTAGTTAGGAAAAAGAATATCCTTTGTACATTAACCAGTCTTTTATTTGAGCACCTGTATGTAACTGAGCAGTTCCACTGTCGTTTATTTTTGTTGTGTTGATTTCATTACAGTGTCCTACGTCGTGTGCAATGAAATATCTCCGGCTGAAAGAAGTAAGTCGTGCTAACAGTGTAGTGAAGACGATTTCAGTTCATCTTCGACCAAACGGAGTTGCCCTTGTTAAGGCTGCCTAAATAATTAACTTTTTCGTATGAATCGATTATCATTATTATTATATCCTTCAATTCCTAGAGGAACATAAGGCTTCAGCCACGCGTCTCCATTGCTTTCAGTTTTCTGCCAACGTTTTCACTCCGCTCCACATCTGTCCACACGCTTTCGTCTTCTCTTCACATCACCTCCTACAAGTAACCCCACCCTCGGACGACCAACTCGCCGCTTCCCTTTCGCGTTCCACTCGAGCCATGGTCTGTCTAGTGATGTCACTTGATTGCTTGTTTCCTCAGAGTATGGTCAGCCAATCCATCTCCATTTCTTCCTGCCTATTTGTTTCACAATCGGTTCCTGGTTGATTCACTCATTACCAGAGATCCCTTATGCTGATCTTTTCTGGCCGGCCATCTGATCTTGAGTAATCTTGAGCAAAGACAACTGTTAATGAAGGACTGTAGATTGTTTGAGATGCTCTTTATGACGCGCCAAGTCTCTGACCCGTATAGTGAGTAGCACTGACTGACTTCACATATTAGTTGAAAATCTGGACCTGAGTGGTGTTGACCTCCATACAGACTTGAGAGTAATAAAAGCTTGCCTTTCTTTTCCGATCCTTGCTTCGATATCCTCGTCATTTCCGTCCGCCCGTAGTTGAAACGATGCTTCCCAGGTAAGTGAGTAGGTAGGCGAAGGAGGTTGTTTCGTTCAGGTTCCTCCCATTTATGCTGGCTGATTGTTGTCTGTTGTTGTCGTTGTTGACGCTGGTGTTGGCCAGGAATCTGCATCACCTCTGTTTTCTCTATGTTCACCTGAATTGAAGTTCTATCTTTGATGCTTCTTCTTCCAACCTGTTGCTTTTGATTTGCATATCTTCCAGTTTGTGGGAAATCAGACATGTGTATATCTATATAATCACAAGCGTTCATACACCTTAGTTATTCACACTTACATTAGGCTAGGTCAAAGTAGAGTAGATATTTCTGATTGGTTCTTAATTGGGCGAATGTTAAACAGGATATTTTATGGCCATAGCGTGAAGCAAATCTAGATTTGAGGAATAAGGTTGTTCACCTCTGTAGCCATTCACTTGAAATTCTGATTTCAAATTTATCCGCTTTCTATCAATCTGCTCATACCACATATACTATTGCTGTTTGGTATGTTTCAAGTGATACAGACATCAAGGAATAGAATCCATTCTCTCACACTGGTAGATGTCAAGTGGGGGTTATGATTGGTGATCCTCACTTTCAAGATCCAACATATTTCTATATCAGAATTTGTTATATGAAGATGGCGTAGGCCAGATTCACATAAGACTACTTTATGAAACAATGTGGTCAGTGGAGATCAGATGAATACACTAGTTCGTAAATCTTCCTCACTCAGCGAGATAAACAAAAATTTTTTTTCAATTCACATGGTAATGCAGGAGTTAACAGTTTTCAGCTTCATGTGAAACAATGAAGGTATGAATATAGATTACAAGCGGCTTACGGACAAGATTACATGGAATTAGAAAACAGTTACAAGGTATGCGAAATTATTATTTGATAACTGGAGAAATAATTTTAGAGGTGAACATTAGGTGACAATTATTTTCAACTTGATATAAATTACAAGAGGCTTAGAAACAAAAATCACGCATAGATAGAACGAATTACAGATGTGAACAAGATCAGCATGGAAAAAAATCGGAATTGAAGTTAGGAGGTGTGTATATACATTACAAGAGGCTTAGATACAAAAATTACACAGGATTAGAGCATATTTGTAAAATAATTTTTCTAAATAGATTACAAGTGTTATCAGGAGGAGCATAGAAAAAAACTAACTGAAAAAATAGGATGAATTGTATCAAGACATTTCAAGTTGAAAGTTATGATTCCAATTTCTTTCCATGCTTATTTTGTTCACGCATTTAATTCGTTCCATCCATACGTAATGTTTTGGAAATAATTGTCACCTATTGTTCACCTCTAAAATTATTTTTCCAGTTATCATATAATAATTTTGCATACCTTGTAACTGTTTTTTAATCCCATGTAATCTTGTCCGTAAGCCTCTTGTAATCTATATTCATACCTTCAATGTTTCACATCAAGCTGAAACTTGTTTATTCCTTCATTACGATGTGGAATTAAACAAATAATAATTGTATCCATGTGAACAAACATTTAATTTTCAACACCAATGTAGAGTCAGTTCTTCTATATGGTTCACTGACTTGGCATGCGCTTCGCTGGAAGAATTTCCAACAGATTACTGCAGGCCTCTATCAGACGCATGAGACATTGCTGTATAGTCAAGATCAGACAGCTAGGTAGCAATGATGAGATAGTGACTGTGACGTCAGAAGGTGATTTGCAATAGATGGTTAGAGGAAGAGAATCGGGAATATGAGTAATTTTCGAGTCAGCTAAAGATTATTGAAAAGAAGCGGACAAGCTGCAGATAGTCTGTTGAGACGCCGTGTACTCCAGAGAACCCAACGAAACAATAATGAAGAAATAATACACAGAGTTCACTTTACAACACATCAAGGAGATAGAACTGAGTCTGAGTCCATGGCAATGTAAGAGGCAGAGTAATAGACTTCTGAACACAATGCTCCAGCTCTTCCTTAAGGGTACCTAGAGCTGATACTGTATGAAACAGATGTAATCTTACTTTATCTATGACTCTGAGAGACGTCTCTGTAAGAAGGCAAGTGACAGTGACCTCCATAATCGATCTGTCGACTTACACCTATTCTCCTTTTGGCATCCAAACTAATCAATATTGTCATGTTGTCTAACCACTTTCTTGTTTCAGCTAGAATTTGCAAATGATCGCCTGAAGTCTTGCTTTTTCTGTTGACAAGTAGTTTAACTGTCTAACTGTCCATGTAGATTATCTAGAGCAAAGAGGAACACCCTGTTATTAACAGTTTTTATATTTGTCAATTGAAAATATTATTTCCATTTTTCCTCACTTTATGTTTACCTGGTCTCTATATTCTAGGTGAAATGGACAAGCTTATCAAGAAATACAGTGAACTTTACGGCCGTTACAAGACCGCTGAATGTGAGTACAGTTTGTTCTAGCATGAACAAGTGTTCGTTAATAGGCGTTTTGGTTGATTTCAATTTTGATCGGTGACTGATATCTATTGGAGAATCACTGAACAGCGCATGGAGTGACTGACACCTAATTCATCCTCCTTCAACGGTACTAATCAGTAGATACCGCATCACCGGCTTCATGAAATTGAGTTATCCGCTGAACATGTTGCCTAGCAAGTAGGGCAATGAAAGCTTTGCAAATTAACTATCCAGCCAGCTCATAGAACACAACCACAGCGAAATCATCCACCTGAGCTACATATCTTCTCCATCATATCTAAAATTGTATCCTAAAATTACTCGTTACCAGCACTGTCACATAATCACAAAGAGAAGCATAAGGATAAGGGATTCAACAGGGAGCAATACAAGTTCTACTGATCAAGTCAACATATAGTATTGCAGTTTAGGGGAGGCACGGATCACCATCATACAGTTAGTTGAAACGTCCGTGTAAGTAGTAATGCTGTAGTTAGATAGATTAGGAGTGATTTTGTTAGCAATTATTCCGTTAGAGTGATTATATGTGAAATATTTGAATGTATTATTCTGTTTTACAGGCGTAGCATTCCTGACAGTCAGATTACCAGAAATCAATTTGACTGTGGAAGATTTTAACAGTGGTGAGATTTTCAAGCTAATTTCAGTAACAATGATGATGACTACAATAACAGTGATCTCTTATTCAGTGAAAACCTACTGATACACGTCTAATGACGTCAAGACATCGGAAGGTAGAATGCACGATTCGTTACATTCAGAAATGTTTTGATTTTGGCAAATTAGAAATCGTTTCAAGTTTCGTCATGCATTGATACCAATTAGAGGACCAGTGAAAACGACCTGGAAATAGCTGACAGTTCTTTTAACCCTAGTTGGGGATTCTGCGGCTCATCCTGCTGATGGGAGGCTCTGAGAAATGAACTCCATTTGATGCACAGTAGCGATGAGTTTCAAAATCTGACGAAACACCCTGCCAGTACTCCTATGCATCAGTGACACAGTGGTTAGGACTCTCGCCGACCATGCTCAATGTCCGAGGTTCGGTCCCCTGTCGACACACACCTGATATTTATGGTCAGCCTAGAAATATTTGGGCTACCGATATCCATGCTGAAAATTCCATACTTGTACCAAAATTACAGTGTGGAATCAGGCTGTAAATCAAAAAAAAGAACAAGTATTTCCTTTTGTATGAATGTCTAGAACTGCAGCAAAGTATGGGGGAGACGAGCTCTTAGCGGGTCACTGTTCTTCATTCTGCAGATTATTTTTCAAGGTGCAGTTACTTGAGATAGAATTGTTGTTAGAGCTGGCTGCTAGCCAAATTGGTAGACAGTAATTTACGTCAATGTTTACGTCTCCAATATTGGTCGTGGGAAAAATAAGAACAGAGACTGATTCAACAACCAACCACAGCGAACTTTGCGTAGAAGGATACAGTTAACATATAGATGATCTGATATTCAAGAAACAGCCATAAAGAAATAAACGATTAACTTTCTGTGAGAAACAACCAATCAGAAGACTGTGTTTTTCTGATAACAATAATCTATAATAATGTACATGAAAATCTTTAAATATGTGTTGATTTCCTCAATAAACAAGCTGTTGCCTAACCCTTGTCTTCTGTTGTTACAGAATGCCCACTATTCGATCAAGTGTTCAACTTTTGTAGTCCTCATAGATCCACTGTTGTCACCAGTATGACAAGTCAACACTTATTGATTCTAGTCCCGTTCATGAAAAAATTGCACATGAATGAGTTTATATAGCTGCAGAAGAAAACGATTTCCTCAGATAGAACCTTTTCGCTGAATTTATTCTCTTGTACTCTTTCACGCTGTTCCACTGCAAAATACAGAAATCCTATACTTGAGTTGGAATTATTGGAAGTGATTTGTATTCTGCTTCCTTTTTACTTAGTTCCATGCCTTCTATATTTTGTTATGCAAGGAACTCAATCTGTGACTCGAATGTTCAAAATCCTCTTAAAAGACATCATCTTACTCACGTCCAACCCACCCTGTTTCCGAGACCTACTGTAGGCGGCCGGTAACCGAACACTGAACCACATGCGTGGTTAAAACCACTACCAATGCATATTAGTCGGTGAAACAATGTAATTTTTACTGGACGACTAAGTTGTGAATGCAGCCGTTTATTTTGAGGTAGACTGTGAATTGATAACACTTGGAGAAGCCATGAAAACCACCAGTGATTATTCGACAGTTGGTTGTCACGTTCTAGTTTCGGACTCATCGGCAGTACGCAAACCACTTGAATCAGAACTCAGTAGCTTCCGACTAGAAGGCAGGGATCTTGACGATTCAGCCGCTGGAGCCTGCTAAAATGGCTAGTCCGTGAATCCTAGCTTCTAGCGACTGGTGTTTTTTTTTAAAAAAAATCTAGTACAACAGGAAGAACATGGATTATGAGGTTGATTACTGACGCAGTATTTTATCTGTCTTCAGTTAAATTCTGATTGCCCTGTTGACTGATTGGATCGAGATATTCTATTTCTGTTGATATGACTAGGGAATTAATTTGAAGTAATTCAGTAGATGGTGACTAGAAATGGAGTGCAGAATTCACATTTCAAGTTATGTGATATTTATCAGTGAGATTCACCTACAAACCTCAATATATGATTGTGTCCCCACAGAGACGAGAATTCATCACTCGTCGTTTGAAACACCAAAGTATTATCCACTAGACCATTTGCGCCACGGTAGCCGCATACATTTAATGCTCTTTATTCATATAATCAACTGAGAATACGAGAAATAGAAATCATTTTAACCCTACCCACATGCTAATGAAGATTCCTGGCTAACACCAACAGCCACAGCAATAACAACAACAGACAACAGTCAGCCAGCACAAATGGGAGGAACCTGAAAAAAACAACCTCCTCTACCTACCTGGGAAGCATCAACTACAGGTAGAACTGACGAGGATATCAAAGCAGCGAGGACCTGGAAAGCAAGACAAGCTTTCATTACTCTCAAATCTGTAGGGAGGTCAACAGCACTCAGCATCAAATATAAGATCCGGATTTTCAAATCCAATGTGAAGTCAGTCACTGCTACTCGCTATGTGGATCAGAGACTTGCACTATGCGCCATAAACAGCATCTGAAACAAACTTCAGACCTTCATTAACAGTTGTCTTCGCTCAATACTCAAGATCAGGTGGTCGGCCAGAAAATGGCAATGAACGAACCAACCAGGGACCGATTGTGCAACAAATACGCATGCAGGAAGAAATGGAGGTGGATTGGCTGGCCATACTCTGAGGAAACCATCAAGTGACATCACACACCGGGCCATTGCTCGAGTGGAACCTGAAAGGGAAGCGTCGAGTTGGCCGTCAGTTCGAGGGTAACTTGGAGGAGGTCATGTGAAGAAGAGATGAAAGCATATGGCAGATGTGGATCGGGGTGAAAAAGTTGGCAGAAAACTGAAGACAATGAAGACGCGCAGCTGAAGACCTATGCTCCACTAGGAATTAAAGGATACAATGATAATAATAATATCCACCTGCACATTGACGGAATTCTACTCACCTGACAGTGAATGCATAGGAAGCATCAGAACTATAAATGTCATGTCTATATGTTTTGTAGTTACACTTCGATGATATGGTTCTGAACAATCTGAAACTGTCTTCAGTTTATGATACTGTTCAACCATGTGTGTGACATATATTCTTATGGAATAACATGCTAACACCGCAGCCTGCCACGTTTTCACATATGCTGAGATTATTTTCATATTGGCTTTGTCAAAGTTATTTTTTTCTGTCTTTCAGTTACACGCGATACCAAGTATCAGATATTTGTGAATACTTCCGTGGACTACCTGAAAAGTGAGTACTGGTGATGACTGTCAACGAATTGAAGGCAGAATACTTTATTCAGTAGTGTCAATCAGGATTACCATGAGACCATGAAAACTACATACCAGTGATTGACTCTAATGAGTACTTATAGACCACTTGCATCAACAACAAACAGTAGGTCTTGTTAGCCAGCAAGATCAAAGTGATCCGAACACCATCGCATGGCCATTTTCCTTTCTGGTGGCGAGTTTATCAGTGGTGTGATTTCGACTGGCTACTTGTGCGAACTGGTAATATATATCAAATGATATTTTCAATTAAACCAGTTAGAGTAGATGAAATTTCACTAGTCAGTCTCCTTGAGAAACGAATGTCACTCAGACCACTTCATGTTAGTGCGTAATCCTGCTTGATATCATAAATGGTGATCAACGAAACCGGCCTAAGTGCCTGCCTAACATTACTCATTTCACTGATGTGGGTGGAGTCATATTACAATGAATAATTCCCATTTCCAGATAAGAAATATGCACAAAAAATCAACTGGAATTTGTGTAAACATCGAAGTAATCTGCAAATCTCCAATTTCATTTCAGTTTATTGTGTTGAGCTCAGCGGCTACAAATGTCTTCCACTGTGACAGTCACATTCACATATCTTTCCGCGTATATCTCATCTTTATTTTGTATCCAACCGATTCATGAATTATACTGTCATTGATTACAGAACTGAAAGACGAATCCACTTGGAAGAATGTAAACGAAGTATCTGACCTGTATCGTGAGTATACAGGTATGATTAGTTTTCAGAATAACTGCTTTTAACTTAAAGATTACCTAACAACATTAACATTTTACACTTAGAGTTCGAGACACTGAAACTATAACCCCTTAGAAAGAAATATTTCCAGAGCTGAGATGCAATTACTGTCAAAATATTACTCAAGTTTGATCACCACCTGATTGATATGTTTGAGCACCATCGAAAACCACTTGAACATGGCATTGTTCAACAGTACTCACCAGTGAACCTATATGATGGATCACTAGGTAAAACTGCAGAAAACTTAGTTATTGGAATGGGATCAAATCACATACTCATGAATGTCGATAGCGTACATTGAAGTTCCTGTGTTCGACCTCTGGTGGATTGGTTAACAGGCTCGTAACACGACAAAGATCTGCTTAAACCTTGAGCTACTAAACAATCCTCCATCATTATATTACATCTAATTTCATGTATACACTTGGTTTCAAATTTTCAGCTTACTAAGATGTGACCTCTGGTAGCATTCATTTCTCTGGTGAACATTTGAAGTTTTCGAAACCTGTGGATTTGTGAATTTCAAAAAGCATAATTATTGGTGATGAGGTGATTTGGAACGTACTCCGATGCACCAAACGATGGCTCCTGAGATTATGAGTTCAACTTGCCGTTCTCTGTTCAATGAAATTAACTGTCTGCAGTCTCACATGCCTTTTATTGAGAACCGCAACACGAGGATTCTAACTCTTCAAGACACCTGCTTCTGTGATCTATATGATGATAATTTCGTCTGTCTGAACGGTTTATGACAGTCTAGACAAGATCAGTATTGCTCTGAAAATAGGCGGTGTTGCCGTTGCAATCCTCATCAATCGTCTGTGGTAGTTCATTACAATAATGCACATTTCATTTTCTTAAGTGTCAAAGTCGACTGAATTATTGTGGAATATCGACTGAAGCACTTGTTTGTCTAAGTACTATCACATTTCGAATACTTATGTTGCACCTGATTGTAGTCTCTCAGAGCTGACCTCATTTACTGATGGTTTCACTTCTTTCGCTACCACCTCCCACCCCAAAAGCCTTTCTCAATAGTTACTGGAGATTTGAGTTCCTGTGACTGCAATTTCCCTGTATCATTAGCTCATGAAATATAGTTCCCATGATCCCAGTATTTTAGATCGTACTGCAGTTGGAACTAAGACGACTGTTGAATACCTTGGAATGTGTTTCTCATCCGATATCATCCAGTCTCCAGTCTGACAGTTTGCTGATTCTTGTGTTCTACCCATGCTGATCCATTTCTCCTTTTGAATCTCTCTCGGGCTACTTAAGAAAAACTTTGTTACATTTCGAAGTGTGATAAAATCTGTTGTCACGGCTGTTGAGTTGTCACCGAACAGGCTTGTTAATAATGTTGTAGACAGATATGAGAACTGATAAAATAGACCAGCGATTATTATCTTGTCGGACTTTGAAAATCCCTCCTATAAGCAACTCTCCTGTATCCCTTCATCATCAGACAGGAATAGAAGCAACTATAGGAATCCTTTTACTACAACAAGTAAGTATAGAGCTCTGCAAAACTAAGTTTTTAAAATTATTCGTTGCACGCAAAAATCGTATATGTTCTAGTGGGATGGCTTTACTTGGAATTTCTATTGTCACTTCTTGTTGTCTGTTTACAAAGTTTGACAACTCTATTTTGTTTCCACTTAGCCTCTCCAATTTAAAGTAATGCACGGAATATTTAAACACATATTATAACATGAACGTGTTAAATGAGCTTAGTGAGTAATAAAAATTTTGTCCACATTCACGTACCCCTCAGAATATTTGAAAGACATTGATGATTATTACAGTGAGTTTATTGATATCTCAGATGAATGTATATTTGCATATACAGATAAATGTGATTATGTCTAAATACGCATATAAATATTACGATTAATTTATTGACATTGCAGTAGATTGAATAATGCGACAGACAACGGGCAATCAGGAAACAGGCATAAAATGAACTCACACAAAAAACGAACTTGGAGGATCTGGACATCGCCGATGATATATGTCTGATTTCCCACAAACTGGAATATATGCCAGCGAAAAGCAACAGGTTGGAAGAAGAAGCATCAAAGGTAGAACTTTAATTCAGGTGAACATAGAGAAAACAGAGGTGATGCAGATTCCTGGCCAACACCAGCGTCAACAACGACAACAACAGACAACAATCAGCCAGCATAAATGGGAGGAACCTGAACGAAACAACCTCCTTCACCTAACCACCTGAGAAGCATTGTTTCAACTACAGGAGGAACTGACGAGGATATCAAAGCAGCGAGGATCGGGAAAGCAAGACAAGCTTTCATTACTCTTAAGTCTGTGTGGAAGTCAATAGCACTCAGTATCAAAAATAACATCCGGATTTTCAAATCCAATGTGAAATTAGTCAGTGCTACTATACGGATCAGAGACTTGGCGCGTTATAAAGAGCATCTCAAAGACCTTAATTAACAGGTGTCTCCGCTCAATACTCAAAATCAGATGGCCGGCCAGAAAAGATCAGCAACATGGTGGAATCTCTGGGAGCGAACCGACTAGGAACTGATTTTGCAACAAATGGGCAGGAAGAAATGGAGGTGGATTGGCAGTACTCTGAGGAAACCATCAAGTCACACCACACGCCAGGCCACTGCTCGAGTGAAACTCGAAGGGGAAACGACGAGTTGATCGTCATTTCAAAGCTTACTTGGAGAAGGTGATGTGAAGAGAAGATGAAAGCGTGTGGGCAGATGTGGAGCGGAGTGAAAAGTTGGCAGAAAACCGAGAGCAATGGAGACGCGCTGCTGAAACCCTATGTTCCTCTAGGAATTAAAGGATATAATAATAATAATAATAATAACAATGTACCGACATACAGATAGAGAGATAGACGGATCAATGAGAGGAAGGGAGGCCAGATATGGATAGATAGAGAAATTTTACAAAAGCATACTCAGGCATGTATTTTCCGTTACAATATTTATGATGTTTTTTTAATTTTTCTAGATAGTACTGTTTTTGAAAATATTGGTGCCAAAATGAGGAACAGAAATGTTAGAATTAACTTAACCGAAGGTAACGTTTTGTCAACAAGAGGAACTATTTTCCATTAAATGTTTCTCGTGCTATGGAAGGTAGACGAATTTCGATTCCAGAATCCATCCCACTACTGTTCTACACAATCATGTTATGTCGCCCACAGGCTGATAATCAACTCTGGTGGATTTTTGCAGAATCACAAATTCACTACTCTCTATCATACATTCTACTTCAGTATCACATACTTTATGCTACCAGGATATCATGCAGATCCTGCCCCTGAAGATATTCATCTTTCTGAAATTCCATACACAAAGTAAAACTTGGTCGACGTAGGTAGACTACTGATTTCCACAGTTGCTATTCTACAGGTATCTGGATAATCAAATAGTGATTAGGAGGCTGTAACTCGGTATGTGCTGAACACGATTCATATGTTCATGTTTAATCAGCAATGCATCCGCCTACTTCAATGCATTTACTCAAAGTAGATTTCATTCAGTACACGTCAACCCAACAATATCATCCTGGGTCAGCAGTGGCATTAACAGTTTACGCACAATATCCTTTGTAAAGATGTCTAGAGAAATCGAACCCTCTGTCATCTCCACTGAACAGGACCTTGTCACCTATTTACTCCAAAATCAATCTACTCATCCATTACAGCTGATGGATGCATAACCAGTCTCAGATCATTCACAACAACATTCTCAACAACACCCAACGTAATGGTGACAGTAGGTGGTGATATTTGAAAACGCCAGTGAATATCGTCTGGTCATATTCCGATGGTAAATATTTTGGATGTGAAGTGATGTTGCGGGTGATGACTATGGAAATGGAAACCAGAATGCACATTTTGTGCAGTTTAAGATCCTAGAGTTGGAAGCGCGTGTATTCTCCAGTTGATGGTAGTGTTTCTACTGAGACTTTAAAGCAGTAGAGAGAGAGAGATCACTGCAAAAACCGTGGTGTTATCCACTATACCACTTGGGCGATGACAGCCTCCTCGTCTGTAATGATTGTTTGGAGTGATTGCATTGCAATATATATTCAACCTCTGTGTGACGATTCTCACCCACTGAGAATGCATGTACATCCAACTGACGAGTCCTAAACAACACTAAACAAGCTTCATGGATTTCACAGCTAGTTATCTCCTGTCAAATTATTTTATCTTAATCCATAGAATTCATCTGAGCGTCTCCACTATGAGCCCACATATCAACTGGGGGTTGAACATTTCTGCCTAATCAATCAGCAGGAAAATCGAAATCGACTAAAAGTAGACATATTGTGGTGAGAGCAGGCTGCTAGCCGATTGGTTGACACTAATCTACGTTAATGTCTAGGTCACTAATATGGGCCGTGAGAAAATATGAACAAGGCTGATTCAACAACCAATCACAGCAAAGTTAACGCGGCAAAATATGATTCGCAGATAGAGAACTCTATTTGTCAAGGAATCCCGAAACAACCAATCAGAAGCCTGCGTTTGTCTGCAACCAATCAGATGACTGCGCTTTTCTACTTGCATAAGCTATATTAATGTATGTGAAATATATATAAATACGTGTTGATTTTTATAATAAAACGATCTGTTGCCTGGCCCTTGTCTTCTGTTGTTACAATATGATTACACGTAAATAAGATTTCATGTGTTTCTGAAGAACACGCTGAGTCTAACGCTGTATTCTACTGATGATTTTCAGTCTTCACTGACCTTGTTAACTCTCTTCGTGATGCATGGACGGCTAGAAAGAATCTGTATACGACAGCAGGTTAGTCGACATAGTTTAGCCGTTGTTGTTGTTGTTGTTTTTCCAAAGATATTCAATGTAAATGACACACCTTTTTCGAAAATTCTCATTTCATGTTTTTTTATTCTGTATTTATTCATGAACCTGACAATAAGCGCAACAGTCATTGGGTCAGAGACGGGTCGACGAAGTAGGTCTCCTCATGTAAATTCCTTCACAACTCACAACTATTCTAAGTGCTTGTATACAATATGATGTTAATTATCAACGCAGGTCACTACCTGTTATCACTTAGAAGTTAATTACTATGTATGAAGCAGAAATCAAAAGGCTTACATGATTGTAGGAGTTGCCAAGATAAAGGTTAGATGATGAATAGACATTCAGAAATGTTTGATGAAAAACAAGAGAACTAAGAACCGAAAGCAAGTGTTTAAATTTGACTGAGTACACAGAGTTTAGAATGTACATCGAGACTATGCAGTGTGATGGCGCAAATCTGTAGTAAACTTATTGAAAAGTTACATCTCAGACTATCCACAACAGGAAACTCAGCAAAGTCCTCCAAGTGAAGACAAGATTAAGAAAAGCTAAATAACATCACCTATGATGTTTCTGATTGTGGTCGACTGGAACACTCGGCAAACTTAGGGAATAAGAGAAGACAGGAATATGTTGTACATATATAAGAAGACTCCTCTGAAATATCTAGACCTTTTAGAAGAAAGGCGTCGAATTTAACAACAATTCGACGGAAATAGTGGGAAGTGAGGAAATGACTTCAAATCAGCATAGAGGAGACTGATTTAATGAAGGCAAATAAACAACCAGGTAACCAGCAGCATTAACAGCAACCAACAGAAACAAATACCAATCACTGACAGTAAAGGAAATTTGAAAGACATCACTGCCTTCACATGTACAGCCACAAGCGTATGGTATCAACTACAGTCGCCACCATGGTTGAGGACTTCAACAGCGGTCAGGGTCGGAAGAGGGAGACAGATATTCATGATTCTGAATTCAGTTTGAAAATCTTCTACACTCAGCCAGTGCAAAGAAAGGAATTCAGATTTTCCCCTATGTGGTTTACTGACTTGAAATGCGCTTCATCAAAAGCATTTTCAGCAGATAACTGCAGACTTTGGTCAAAAGCTGTGGTTTTCACTCCACTTTGAAGTTTAGCTGGCAAGAATGAATTTTTGAAATTACTTATTTATTTAATTTGTTCGTTTGTGCTTCAAGCGAAATACACAGGCTTCATGTTTTCTACATTGTGTGGTTCCTGGCCTCAAACACATCAATCCCACTTTCTTGAGTTTACAGTCTATTGAGTGAGGCAGGGGTGTGCTTCAGTCGGAAGTGGACACCACAAGATCACAAGCATATTTCGCATGGTGTTCAAGCACTGAAGCATCGATGAACACAGAAGGAATTAGAAGTAAGCAATTCTCGGAACAAATTCAACAATAGCCAATTCCCATTATAAAATTTAGAACAACACATTTAAGCGAACAATATTGTTCTCAATTAGATCTCATCAGGCTTAACTCTAATATATATAAGTTTACAAATAAAAATGCAAATATAAACAAATCATGGTGTTTCGTCTATACGATAATACGATGGCTAATATAAATTGTACAATCAGTCATAATAGTAGTAATGATAATATTAATAGTGGTAATGATACTAATAATAATGGTCTTATCAATAATAAGGATGAAAAAGTGAGGCAATCTATGATAATACGTATAATGAAAAATAGTATGATTAAATAAACAATTGTTCAGGTGCAAGTAGTCGATAAAGGCTAGTAAAACGAATGAACCGATTATGTAATGTTAGATTGTGGGGGAAGGAAATGAAACACGTTTATAATGAAGATAAGATTAAGGGAGGATAAGGAAGGGGTTGTAAATATGAATAAGGGGTGGTGTAGAAGTCTTTAGTTGGTTATGTCTTAATAGGCCAAGGGAAGGATAATGGCTGTACGAACTTCTTTTGAATGCATAGTTTAGGTTTAGTGGTTGGAATGCCTATCGCCTCAGCTGTGCGCAGTAGACGAATACGAAGTCTATTAGAAAGATTCGGTGGGATAAGACGAATCACTTTGAAGGCTCTCGTTTTCTCCACTGCATGACCACTATCAACTAACTGTGACAGAATTGAGCTACGGATTGTTTTTGTCTGTCTTTTGCCAAACCACAATGGGAGATGTTCACTAACACGTTGGCTAAGCTGTCTAGTAGTACGCCCAACATAACTGTCACCGCAGGTGCAGTTGAAATGATAAATACACATAGATGTTGCCAAACTATCAAGCTTATCCTTCGTTTGAGTCCCAATCATTCGTCGGCTAGAGAATGACAAACATAGGTGTGCTGCGTAAAATGTTCCTTGAAAGTCTTTGGAATAGAATCTCACTTGATAAGTCACCATTAAATTGTGACTTAATAAGTAGAGGTTTCTTATGTGCAGTCAGAGTCTCAGGTTTTTCTCTGCTGTATTCATATGTTTCTTTATGAAACTACTCAAATAGCCCATCCTCGTCAAGGAATCGTGAATATATTCAAATTCTTTTTGTAAGAGGTCATTGTAAACATGTTTCATTTCCTTCCCTTACAATCTAACATTACATAATCGGTTCATTCGTTTTACTAGCCTTTATCGACTACTTGCACCTGAACAATTGTTTATTTAATCATACTATTTTTCATTATACGTATTATCATAGATTGCCTCACTTTTTCATCCTTATTATTGATAAGACCATTATTATTAGTATCATTACCACTATTAATATTATCATTACTACTATTATGACTGATTGTACAATTTATATTAGCCATCGTATTATCGTATAGACGAAACACCATGATTTGTTTATATTTGCATTTTTATTTGTAAACTTATAAATATTAGAGTTAAGCCTGATGAGCTCTAATTGAAAACAATATTGTTCGCTTGAATGTGTTGTTCTAAATAGTCAATTCCTCAAGAAATATTCTGAAGACAATGATAAGGATCAAACACGCGGTGAAGACACCATCGAATGACAACACGCGTCAGGCTATCGCTAGAGCGTCAACCTGACAGGAGATATCTCTGAATCCAAACTAGGAACATAAGAGTTCTCTTTGCCAACTTAACATAGTAGGAGGCGCAGTAGTGGAGCCCTAAAGGAATCTTATGAGAAGAATAATTAGTCAAGTATTTATTTGAGAAGGAAATGAATTTCGCATGTTGGAAAATTGTCAGTGAACGTTTTCAGTTGAATGAGTGTTAAGCTGTACTGTTGAGAGAACAGCAATAGTAGAAAAATTAGAGGAAGCATGTGCAGCAATATAAACATCGTTTCAAAACAGCAGGAAATACAGTCAATTTGTTGCGTTTTAACTCTGCACTTTAAAACCAATCTACTTAAGCTTAAATGCTCAAAACTACTCACTTAAAGGTGAACGAAATACTCTAAAAATACCCTAACCATTCTTCTTTCATGCCATCACCCTCACTGACCTGGATCTAATCAACAGTAGCAACTGTCTACTTGCAATCGTTATTTATTATCATATATACTCTTAAGAAATAATTTTAACCAAAGACATCCATGATGTTTTGTATTGACAGCTGTGTACTATAAAACTGACAATATTCCGAAGAATCACGACATCACTGATGCAAGTGAGTAAACAGAAATACCTGAGGCGTATACATATTTATTTATTCACATTGAATATCATGAAACAAGTAAGAGGTATGATTTCAGAGTACTACTCTTGAGCAGTACACAGCCACCGAGTTTCATTCCAAGGATCATTCCGAGGCTACAAGATGTAGTTGGAGACCGTTCAGCCACTGGGAACTATTCCAGTGGTCCGTGAATTCCAACTCTTGCCGGTAGTAGATCTCGGGTACGAGGTTTTTGTTGATATTTTCTTCCCAACAACTTGTTGACGGATGTTTTGCACTGCAGCACTCCATTAACGCATTCACCCGATATCTTCCACTAGGACAGAGACGAAAGGCATTTCTCGGATATGTACAGACAGAGTGCAAAACAATTCTAAATTTATTCGACTTTCTTATTACTCTTCGAAGAAGATTTCGAAGGTAGATGGATCATTGAATGACACCAGTTTTGAATGACCATCCCCCAGAAAAATTGAAATGAAGTAGACGAACATTCAATCAAATTCATTCGATCTGCACTGTGGGGTCAGCAAAGGCAGCTGTTGATAACCTTCTTCAACAGCCAGTGAAGCACACAAAGTCCCTCGAGAATTAAGAGCTTAATTCAAATTAGTGTGAGAAGTCTAAACATTTCGTTCTTCATTCTGGGTTTGGCATAGTTCTGAACTGATTTCAGAGTGCTATATTTCTGTGTAACCTCTCTGATTCTCAAAGTCTTCAATATCCTCAACCGTGCTGCTTTTAGTTGAAACCGGGAGTGAATACCTTCAAATTTCTTCTATTTACAGTGATTGGTGCTTGTTTTTGTTGTCGGCTAACTATCTTATTCACTTTTACCTTCTCCCACCATGTTCACTTTAATCCCTGTCTTCGCTGGCCACCTTTTCTGACAACTTGATGGTTTAAGTCTGCGTATCTTCAGGTTTTTTGAAAAATTAGGCGCAGGTTAACCCAGAGGTCTAGATCTTCCGAAGTCTTCTTGTTCATCCAATATATTCATATCTTCTCGCCCCCTACAGCCTCCAGAATGATCGAATACATCCCAGTGAGAAATATCGTGGTAGGAGGTAGGGAACCATGTATTACTCCTGGCTCAACTTCGAAGGCTTCACCGAGTTTTCCGCTGTGAATCACGTGACAAATGGCACTGACATATAGCTTTTCAAGGTGGTTTGTGAAAGTCATCGACATTGCACCGCATAGTTGTGAAGTTAATTCCAAATGACTTCGAAAGCCCTTCCAAAGTTGCTGAAGTTGGGATGGAGACTTGATCGTCATTAATTGCTCTATTCAATGACGACGTATATAGTTATTGTGTCATCCATAAAACAATCGCTTTTTCCCAACCCTGCATATTGTGCGTAAAGCTAAATGATGAAATAAAAAGGACAGCTGCCAAATCGGTGATGAGTAAATCTCCTTTGAAATCCATAAGGAACATATGCGAAACGCGAGCTACCTGTACTACCATAAGTAAGGAAAAATTAAAGGCGTGAAGAATTCCACAAGAAAGCGAAGAAAAATTTCACATTCTAGGTAGAATTACGAATAATTTTGGAATAGGCATAAGGTATATAAAACTATCCAATGACAAAAGGACACGTGATGGAACCTACGAGAACATATGTAGCCCGAAAATCAAGACGAGAAAAATAAACATCACCGTTCCAAACTTAGAATAATTGTAGATAAATCGTATCTAGATCACTTACCAAATTCATGATCACGCTCACGCGCCATTGCATCCAGAACTGTATTCATAATATCCATTCCAGTCAAGGCTAAACACAAATGTATGCATTATTAACTGAGTGAAATTCGAGTGAACCTACTGGGAAGCCTGTCGATTCTCTGCTTCTCAACCTTTCCCACTTCAGAAATCAGTTGAACTAAAGATGTGAAATATTGTCAAGGAGTAATGTAATATCAATTGAGCGGATATCTGATAAGAAAGTTGGTGAATACCTGAATGAAAAGAGCATTGGCTATTTTGTCCTACTTCTCATGATAGACTTTGTCTCTGGATTCTATGAATCATGGTAAGAAGAAATGTCGTGTTATGCTTGGAGGCACTCGGTAGGTAGAAAGAAAGCTCTGTCTGATATTCAGGTGTCCAGAATGTTCCGTTGCCTTGAATTCACCACTCAGGATTTTTTTCCACCTAGAATCACAAAGCCAGAAACCGTTCCCTCCTGAGATTCCAAATCTCCATCACCCAACATTAACTGCAGTCAGTCACACATCAACACTCCGACGAAAACAGAAATCCTGAAGGCAACAGAGATGCTTGAAACTGGAAAAGCTGCTGGACTAGACGGAATCCAAGCACAAGCATTGAAAATGGATCCGGAGAAATCAGGCGAAATAATTACACCACTACTGGAGAAGGAGTGTAAAAGGAGGGCAAAGCACCTGGTACCGGATGGGAAGAAAGGCTACCTATTCAAACTGTCAGAGAAAGGAGACAAAATTCAATGCAACAACTGGCCTGAAATTATGCTCCTGTCCATCCCAAGGAGAATACTGATCCGTATCAAACACGCCCTGCATGAAAAACTTCGACTGGTAAAGGCTGGATCCAGGAGAAACAAGTCGTGCATCGATCAAATCCCCGCAATACGCAACTCAAGGATTCGAAAGTGAAAAGCAAAAAGTCATCGGAAGAAGAAGAATCAAAGCCTCAAGCACTTCACATGAACATAACGGAAAACAGAGGCTCGTGATAACGATCCATGGCCTACATCAACAGCAACAACAACAACAACAGACAACAATCATGATAAATGAGCGAAAGTTGAAACAATCAACCTCCTTCATCTACATGGGAGGCATCGTGTTGACGACAGGTGAAACTCACGATAATATCAAAGCGGGATTCGGAAAAGCAAGGCCAGTGTTCATTTCCCTCAAATCTGCATGCAGGTCAACAACACTCAGCAAGGTGTGGAAAACAGCATGGTGTGGAATTTCAATTCCAATGTGAAGTCAGTCAGTCCTAGTAGACGTATCGGAGACCTGACGCCGTGTCACGAAGATCACTCCGAACAAACTACACGCCTTCATCAACAGCTGTCTCCGCTCAGTACTACTCAAGATCAGATGTCCGGATAGAAGACATCAGCAACACGGATCTCTGGGAGCGAACCAACTCAGCTTAACCTAATATGCAGCACATATGCATGAAGACCATAATCTGAGAAATCCAACCATTGAGTGAGTGACACCCTATGCCGGGCTATCACTCGAATGTATCCTGAATGGGAGGCGTCGAGTTGGTCGCTCGACAGTGACATGGATGAAGTCATGTGAAAAGGAGTTGGAAGCATGTGGCGAGACGTGCAGTCAAGTGTAAAGGTTGACGGAGAACTGAATGCAGTTCAGACGCGTGGCTGAATCCCTATGTTTCTCTTACATCTAAGGGAAACAATTATGGCAATAGAAGGTACCTGTGCAAATGTTTTTCTTTTATGCATACACACATACAATATTAACACTACATGGTAACAAATTCTTCAACTTTCATTTATACCCAAAACCTCAAATAATCAATTTCATAATCACTTAGCAATATTTAAATGAGACTCACATTTGGATTGACTGGTTCTCTTTATTAGATGAACAATTTAGTGTAGAGGACTGGGGTCAATTTATTGAAAAGGAATTTATCAAATCAAGAGGTAAACAAATTTTTGAATTAATGTTATATTTCAAACTCGTCACCCACTTTGTTATTTTGAATCATACAGAAGTCCTGATTTTTGGTAGTCCATTGTCGGGGAGGAGATGAGCACTGAGGATGGTGCTATGTAAGGCAATAAAAGCTCCTCAACTAAACTATTCAGCTCAGTTATAATACAAGTTCACCAAGAAACACTCATCCAACGTGCATCTATTATTCTACCGTAATCACTAAATTCCACAATAACATTAGGTAAAATAATTGAGTAAGTAATTACTCAGACATGGTGTATAATCAGCCTCATTTGCACCCGTCTCCGCTGTAAAGTGTATATGTGGTGAGAGCAGGCCGTGAGAAAATATGAGCAAGGCTGATTCAACAACCAATCACAGCAAAGTTAACGTGGCAAAATATGATTCGCAGATAGAGAACTCTATTTGTCGAGGAATCCCGAAACAACCAATCAGAAGCCTGCGTTTGTCTGCCTAACTTCTGATAAAAGCCAATCAGATAACTGCGCTTGTCTACTTGCATAAGCTATAATAATGTATGTGAAATATGTATAAATACGTGTTGATTTTCATAATAAAAGAATCTGTTGCCTGGCCCTTGTCTTCTGTTGTTACATATATATATATATATATATATATATATATATATATATATATATATATATGTGCGCTGAGAATGATCAGTTATACATGGATACGGCGAACACCCATTTCATGTTGTCAGATTATCTTTAAGTTTGCTTCATTCCATTTCTCCTTATGTCCAGAGAAGTTTGAGCAGAAATGTCAGGGAATGCCAGGAACGCGTCTAGGTATAAATGGTAAGTCCCAGTTTGTTTGTTTTCAATTGATGAATGTATCCGTTATTTGACCACCAACATCATCAGATATTATCGTCCCCTGCAATAAGATCAATCCATTGTTTACTGTGTGTAAAGTGACATCTGTAATTCCCGTTTGTCACCATAAAATCTTCTTTTGACCGTTTGTCACCAACTCAACGATACCATACTTGGCCAGCCCGTGTTCTAAGTGACAGAGACAATGTTAAGCGCAAAACCTATGACTTGCTTTGTTGTTACTGACATAATTTTGGCCCTTGTTATTTCCCTCTTACACTCTCTTATTTGTACTCTATAGTGAACAACCTTCTTAAACATACTTAGCTACCTAAAATTATTATCATTGGCTTAATTTTTTATTCTTTACTCTATTCCTTCTTTTGTGTATCTACTGGGTCCGACTATGAGTATTACTGAATTGCTTAAGGTTATTTTAACTAAACAGGTAAAGGTTGGTAATCTAAGTCAAGACCATTAAGTGCTAGGGTAGTAACAAAGGTGATGAGTTGTCACAAACAGTTGTTAAAAGAAGTTATGCAATAATAATATGAATAGTTTGATGAGTGAGTTTTACTCAGGATGCACATAGAAACAAAGTAGATAATACGAAACTATGTAAGAGATTTAAGTGAATACAAGAATTATAAGCAATTAAGGAACAGGCAAAGAAACAAAATTAAGTCATCAAAATAAAAATAAAAGCTCAAAACAATCAAAACATTGTTACCATGAGAGTAGAAGTGGTTGAGTAATCTTCTTTTGTATGCACAGCTCCGGTTTTTCCATGTGAATGGCCAGAGCTTCAGCGATGCAAAGGAGACGAAACCGTATTGCCTTTGATATGTTATTCTTGACTCTGTAGATTACTTTGAAGGAGGCGTTCGTTGAAATGCAATGATCAGTGTTGACCAGGTGTTCAATTATCGCACTCCTTATTGCACCAGTATTGCCTTTTCGCAGCCATGCTGGATAATGTTCTTGAATTCTCTTGGACAGGATGCGCGTCGAACGGCCGATGTACCTGGCTCCACAGCAGCAGGTGAACTGGTATATGCACATAGAAGTGGCCAGATGCGGGATCTTGTCCTTGATTTATTTTGATGACTTAATTTTGTTTCTTTGCCTGTTCCTTAATTGCTTATAATTCTTGTATTCACTTAAATCTCTTACATAGTTTCGTATTATCTACTTTGTTTCTATGTGCATCCTGAGTAAAACTCACTCATCAAACTATTCATATTATTATTGCATAACTTCTTTTAACAACTGTTTGTGACAACTCATCACCTTTGTTACTACCCTAGCACTTAATGGTCTTGACTTATATTACTGAATTGTCCTGTCATTAACCATCATGTAATATTAGTTTTGTGGTTGTTGTTTGTTCGGCATTATTTAACTGACAATCTTGTTTGTGAACGCCACTATCACCATCTTAAAAATTTTGTACAATGCAGGATTACTCTCACTACCACAAAAAACACTGCATTAGTGCTGACAATAAAAATAAAAACTCTGAAATGTTTATTTTATGATTGTTTAGTGTAGTTCAATCAAATTAACTGTTCATCTTGACTATAAACATTTTTAAGAACATCTCATAATTTCCTGTATGATTATAGCTGTTACCGTTCACCACGCATACACATATCATAGCTTCCACTACCAAATACTGAAATATTATTCATTATTGGTGTTTATCTTCCTTTCTACTTGGTATTTTTTACTTGCATTTTTTGTTATTTTTGTGTTTCTTTTTGGTTTTTGTTGTTGTTTTTTATTTTTATTTTTTTTTGTAACACTCCTTTTAAATGTGCGATGAAATTAGATGCAATATTGTAGATATGTGCTGAAAACTCCACACTGTACCACTAGTAATATTTCTGGAATAAAAGCGAAATTATTATTATTTCGCGTGCATCCACTTGCGTCAGAGTTTCAGCAATAGAGTTCTTGAGATGACTTCGAGTCCCTGTTGATCTACACCTGAACCTAGTCAAGTATACCAGCAATTAGCAAACTTATACCTAAGGCTAACAAATGTGTACGCCGTTAAAACAACGCCTCAGCTTCTGAAATATCAAGATTTCAACTTCCTTGCAGCCAAATGCTCCATTCAGAACATGAAGTAGTCAAAATAAAAATCTTCTTGTACATCAAAAAACATTTGAACGCATTCACTTTTTTTAATTTATTGTGACTGCTGACAATTTCTATCAATGTTCTCATCTTTTGTTTCTCAGCTGCCAAAAAATTATTGAAGAAATCAGATTGGAAAAAAAGACCAAAGTCCGAGTTCGAGCATGCTGTTGGTAAGCAGAAAATTGTGTGCTTACAATCCTCCTACGCTGTTCTGTGAGGCAGTTTCGAATATCGACAACACTATGCAGACTTTGATATCAGTGAGAGGAGCATCAGGGAGTATTGAATGGCTGAACTTACTAGTTCGGTACTATTAGTCGTTACGCTATCACAACACCACCATAGATCGAAGCAGGTGACGAAAGCAAGCTCATTAGCCATTCAATACAATACAGGCCGCAATCCAACGACCCTCGAATTCTAACAAGTATCCCTTCGAAAGTGTGTCGTACCTGCCAGCAAATGTCGTAGGCCAGTATATGCCCTCACATTCTACTCGGTGCACACTATTGGTCTCGACTTGTCACTAGAAAAGCAGTCAACTTCGTCTTGTAGTCGTCAATCACTGGTTAGCACCATAACCTTAAGGCCCTTGTTCTCGCCATCAACAAATGGGTTCATGTTTTTTGATCCTGTCTATGAGTCCCAAAATAGGAAAGTACAGCCAGCTGGCCAGGACTCCTAGCCACTTTTCAATGATTCCGCTGCTGATATCAATCCATGATTCAAGATTAAAACAAGTGGAATCCCTGCAAATGAAATCTTCGAGGTGCAGTCATTTGTCTATTGTCACAGTTTATAGATTTATATAGTTTATTTATTCCAGACATGCAACAAACATAATGAGTGATGAAAATTATTAGAAAGGTGGACAAGATTAAGGCAGAATAAGAAGATAGCACGAAAAATGTGATAATAAATGGAGAAACAAGGATTTACCTAGACAATCCATGGTGTATCACTATATCCTTGTACAAGCATAAATTAGGCCTCAATATTTAGATTGATGGTTCTTCTGTTTATCATAGTAGTCTGCAGTTACTGTCGTTTTACCGTTCACAAGGCCACCATGCAGTCTTCCACCTCATAACAATCATTTTTGCTAATGTTCAGAAATCTTGTTTGTAAGTGGCATTTCAGTTATTCCCAGTAAATACTCATGCCAGTACAGTTAAATGATTGAATGAAGTTCCAGGTTCCTTAAGGCGTTCTCATTACCAGCTATAAATTCTTAGGAATATTCTAAGTTCCGTAGCATTTCACCATTATTATTAGTTTTCGTTAGATGTAAGAGAAATATAGGGATTCAGCCATGCATCTGAACTGCGTTCAGTTCTCCGTCAACCTTTACACTTAACTGCACGTCTCGCCACATGCTTCCAACTCCTTTTCACATGACTTCATCCATGTCACTGTCGAGCGACCAACTCGACGCCTCCCATTCAGGATACATTCGAGTGATAGCTTGGCATGTGATGTCACTCACTCAATGGTTGGATTTCTCAGATTATGGTCTTCATGCATATATGTTGCATATTAGGTTAAGCTGAGTTGGTTCGCTCCCAGAGATCCGTGTTGCTGATGTCTTCTGTCTGGACATCTGATCTTGAGTAGTACTGAGCGGAGACAGCTGTTGATGAAGGCGTGTAGTTTGTTCTGAGTGGTCTTCGTGACACGGCGTCAGGTCTCCGATACGTTTACTAGGACTGACTAACTTCACATTGGAATTGAAATTCCACACCATGCTGTTTTCCACACCTTGCTGAGTGTTGTTGACCTGCATGCAGATTTGAGGGAAATGAACACTGGCCTTGCTTTTCCGATGTCCGCTTTGATATTATCGTGAGTTTCACCTGTCGTCAACACGATGCCTCCCATGTAGATGAAGGAGGTTGATTTTTTCAGCTTTCTCTCATTAATGCTGATTATTTTCTGTTGTTGTTGTTGTTGCTGTTGATGTAGGCTATGGATCGTAATCACGAACCTCTGTTTTCCGTTATGTTTATGTGAAGTGTTATCTTTGATTCTTCTTCTTCTTCCGATGACTTGTTGCTTTTCACTATGGAATCCTTGAGTTGCGTATTGCGGGGATTTGATCGACGAAGGACTTGTTTCTCCTGAATCCAGCCTTTACCAGTCGAAGTTTTTCATGCAGGGCATGTTTGATACGGATCAGTATTCTCCTTGGGATGGACAGGAGCATAATGTAAGGCCAGTTGTTGCATTGAATTATGTCTCCTTTCTCTGACAGTTTGAATAGGTAGCCTTTCTTCCCATCCGGTACCAGGTGCCTTGCCCTCCTTTTACACACCTTCTCCAGTAGTGGTGTAATTATTTCGCCTGATTTCTCCGGATCCATTTTCAATTCTTGTGCTTGGATTCCGTCTAGTCCAGCAGCTTTTCCAGTTTCCAGCATCTCTGTTGCCTTCAGGATTTCTGTTTTCGTCTAAGTGTTGATATGTGACTGACTGCAGGTAATGTTGGGTGACGGAGATTTGGAATCTCAGGAGATAAAAGCGATTTTTGGCTTCTTGATTCCAGGTGGAAAATAGCTGAGTGGTGAATTCAAGGCAACGGAACATTCCGGACACCTGAATATCAGACAGAGCTTTCTTTCTACCTACCGAGTGCCTCCAACCATAACACGACATTTCTTCTTACCATGATTCATAGAATCCAGAGACAAATTCTGTCACGAGAAGTAGGACAAAATAGCCAATGCTCTTTTCATTCAAGTATTCACCAGCTTTCTTATCAGATATCCGCTCAATTGATAATACATTACTCCTTGACATTATTTCACATGTTTAGTTCAACTGATTTCTGAAGTGGAAAAGGTTGAGAAGCAGAGAATCGAGAGGCTTCCGAGTAAGTTCACTCGAATTTCACTCATGTAATAATGCATACATTTGTGTTTAGCCTTGACTGGAATGGATATTATGAATACAGTTCTGGATGCGATGGCGCATGAGCGTGATCATGAATTTGGTGAGTGATCTAGAGACGTTTTTTTCACCATTCTTTTTGTTGTGAGATAAATATTTAGCTGACTTTCGAGTAATAATATCATCATTATCAATAATATTCCCGTATGTATTTCTTAATTTCTAAGGGATATATGTAGCCTATTATATGCACTTCTCTATTTTCCTCGACTCCCGCCCTCTGCAATCATTGCAAGCATATACTGAAGACGATACTAACCACGAGATATTTTCATTCCCTCCTCGTTTAATCTTCTTCACGTCAGTCTAGGATGGAATGAAACACGTGTCCTCCTACTCAGATTGCACTCGACGGATTGGTGTGTGTGATGTCATTCAGTAGCCTTCTTAGGTCACATCTAATCCTTTTTCATTTTCTTTGGAATATTTGTTGGGCAATGGATTCCCGTCAGTTGATATGTTGACAGGACTCCTCATTTCTAATCCTTTCTAGCCGACCAGCTGATCTTCAATATGGTGATAGCAAAGTTAGGTGTTGATAAACATCTGCAGTAGCCTGTAGGAAATGCTTTTCGTTGCATTCAGAATTCCTGACGCGTGCAGAAGAATCCTCTCAATAATGATGTGGAAAATTCGAATTATGTCTAGCCTGTCTCGCTTTTACGATTCAGCTTTTGAAATCGCTATCTCTCCCTCTTATGGTTGAAAGAATCTTGGTCAGCTAGAGAAAGAAACTATTTCTGTTATTTTGCTCTTTGTGATGGCGACTACTGACTGTCGTCTTTATCTGGTTTTCGTCAACTATCTATCGCCTTTAAGTTAACCTGATATCGCACTACTGATGCTTCTCTCAATCTGTCGCTTATGTACATATTTATGACTGAGTTTATCCAATAATCTGGCATAAATCCTCTGTGAAACCTAAATTTTCCACTAGTTCAATGTGTGATAGTCTTATCAATGCTCACGGTCACTTACACATCTTAGTCATCCATGACCACGAAGGTATTCGGTGATAGCCGTCAGCCTTGTATTACTGCTATCTCCACTTCAAATGCTTCGATGAGTAGTGATATGATAATAGCCTGGGATGCGGCTGATTTGCAAGCTGGTGTCGTGAATGAAGTTTGAATATGTTTGCGGTGCCACACTTTGTAAGGTTCAAGCAACCCTCAAATTACTGTGTAGTCGATGATGTTCATGGTCTTCTTCTTTCAAAGTAGTCATTCTTTTCTGTGATCGATGACAATGAGAAGTATTGCAATTTGTCGTGTATGATCACCTTTGCCTGAATCCAGCATGACTAGGTTGGAGATTTATCAGCAGTACATCTTTCGGTCTATTGAAGATGGTATGAATTAATATTTTGTTTTTGTTGCATAGAAGTTGAATGCATATCAGTTCCTCCCAATTCTTTAGTCGCTTTTTCTTTCACACTATGATGAGTTAGCCTTTCTTCCATTCTGTGGGTACCGTTTCTACCTGCTTTCCACACCTACAGTAGTGCCATTATCATTTCCAGCAGCTATCTAGGTTCGTAGTTATTGTTTCTCGAGTACTCCATCTAACTTTCAGCGTCTCCTTATGACTTTCCGATCTTCAAGTCTTTTGATTTCGTTGAAAAATGTGTGTTCACTGGTAATTTTGTGTCTGTTGTGGATATTTCTTGACCACTTGTTGGTTGTGATCAATTTAAGAGTCATGTGAGGTAATGAATGTGTAGCTCCCTCTGGTTGACCTCTTCTTTACCTGGATGCCATTCACCACCACCCACTGTCTCCGCCTGCGATTACCTCTTCCCAGTTAGCTATTTGTTTCTCGGTCTGCACTCTGAAAGCCAATGACAGCGTTTCTGCTGTATTGCTTCTCGAACTGCTGTGAGTGACTCACATGCCAAAATTATCCTCCAAATATTTCGAAAGACATTATCGCTTGATCCCATGTGTGATAGTATTCAAAAGTAATAAGATTTCATGTCAGAAATACGAATCTACCTTGAAAATGTCTTCCGGTAGATATGCAGTCAGAAGGCTTCTCAGGCAAAAAGACGTCCTGTACAGGGAAATTAACTGTGCAGCCACAAATGCAGGTTATTTGAAAATCAGTGAGGCTGTCCTCAGCCAGATGAGACTGATACTCTGTCTGAAGTATTCAAATAGAACGAGCATGTTACCCAGATAGACAATCAAGGTCACAATCTTACATTCATTAGAAAATGATTTAAGTCCGAAGAACAGCAGAAAGTATCTCTGCCCTCCAACTTCTTGACTGCTCACTGGTATGTTTTCATGATAAACCATACACATGGTCTAATCCAGCAACTACAGTTTACGGATAAACCGTCTCAACACTCGAAACATTGAAAACTAGCTGGAGTGCTGAACAGCTGGCTGTTTCATCCTTGGCGGGTGCTCATTTGCAGTACGCACCGCCCGAGGTCCCAACTCAACACCTCCCGTTTACAAGTCAATCTCGCCGGCTAATCCGGCTAATTAATTCTAACTTACACCATCTGACAATGTTTTGTGTGCCCACCACTTGAAACAAATACAACCTACAACTCTCGGAAATTGTTCTGATACTCGGTGGTGACTGGCCACAGGGCGAAGTTGTCTGGAGTCCTGACCAAGAGTAATCACCCAGTAGGGAGTGTGGACAGATATTCAGCAGTGGGAGTAACTGGTTGTCGTGAGAAAATCAGGGACTAGTAGAATTCAGAATTCATGGATTGACCACTGGGCTGGGTTCTGAAAAATGAATGTTCAACGAGTCTCTCTTGTTTACCGAAGGGTCCTGGGTTTGGAACCACAGTGATTTGTATACTCCTGATGAGTTTGAAACCTGATCAAACTACCCAGCTCTCCGACACTCTCATCTGGTTTCCAGTGCTTCTTTAACCGATATCAATCTGTAGTCAATCTTGAAACAAGACAAATGCCTGCAGATTGGCTCTTCAAAATTCTGTTAATACACTAGTATGTATAAATATGACTCCATCTTTTTTCACAGGTGCGAAAGCTGAATGAAATACAGTGGACATACAATGTTCATAAACTGACAAAATTTTACTCTCTGGTAATGGTGTGTTATTAATTCATATTAATAAACATTTTTTCTCTCTCTTAAAATCAGTTCTGCTTGCAACCAGTCGTTGTATCTTTCATATAATCTACTTATATGATTCAAGTTAATCAATTTAGACATACAAACGCAGTTACTGCATCGACGAAAACCAACGTGTTATTGTGTGAAGGCAGGAAAACGATGTTTTCAAAGTCAGGATGAGGAGAGAAAGAAAGACACAGATTCTTAGTAGTTAACACAAAGAACAAGATTTAAAGATAAAAACTTTTTAATGAATTAATGTAGTAAATACTTCTACGTGTCTCAGGTACTTGATGTACATCTTTGGAAGCAATGCCAACAGGCTGCTGCAGATTTTTTTGATTAGATGCCTTCTCTCTCCATTCTGAAGATCAGATGGCTTGATATGAAATCAGGAAAGTGTTAGTGTCGACATGTGTGTCTCTTTGTGAGATTTCCACCTGATTTAAAAGGTTGTTTGCAAAAGATAATGGTCTGAAAAGGTATATACTACTCTTCTCTCTTCAGATTGAGATGAAATCTGTCAAACTTGTACTATGTCCACATGATGAAAGTCAACTCGCCTTATGTTGAAATTCTTGTGACAGTACACGCTGCACCTAGTCACCAGTCTATTAAAGGCTTAGAAGTTTGCAAACAGTTCTCCATTACCATTCATTTCTCTCTTCACCTTCGGACAATTTGTATGAATTCATTCAAAATAACAGAAAAGAAAAATCAACGTGCTCTGCATTTTTAGTAGTATAGAGACAAATTACTTTCACAACTAATCTAAGGAAAAATTTTCAAAGGCATTTTGCTAACCTCGATGCAGCTATTGAGTTGCTGTAGGGAACTACCATCAATATCTTCAAAATCAAGCAGCATTCATTAGCCTCACGTTCCATGGCACTGTGGTGGTTATTTAGTTATCCTGTACCTTGTAATTCCCTGTTTTCACTCTCCTTTGCTTCTCTTCTTTATGTTACTTATGATGACTCATTTTGAGTGTATTTGTCGATTCAAATTTTGAATAAAACGTTCAAGTCTTCTACTTGGTCACCTGCTGTAGTTGTATGTCTAAGTAATCCGCCTGCAAGACCTTGTATTAATCCTCGTTTGGACACGAGTGAAACAGGTGATTGATGATGATTAGCAAATCTACCAGACTGTGTAGTATTTTTCGATTTATTGCCATAGTTATGCTGCCATCAGATAATCTGCGTAGTTTGCAGTCTAACATAGTCACTTCCTTAATTTCCCATTCTCTATTTCCAAAAAGGATTTGATTGGCTCTGAATGTCTGTTTATATGTGAGAAGAATTTCTCAACATTTTCATCATCTCAAGCGTGTCATCTACAAATGGTCAACAACATTTCGTTGATCACCAGAATGGTTGAAGTGCATTCTTCTCTTCTCCCCTCCATTTTGTTGGTATGTTTTTCCTGCGAACTAATCAGTGACTTTTCTCATTTTCTAACACTAATTATGATTTCGGTCCATGGAACGTGCAAATCATGCAGGCGCTTTAGATAGTCTCTTTTGGTTATGCATTTCTGAGAACCAATCCAGAAATAAACTCCTAGTCTTCAGCAGTAAATATATATATATAGTCCCAATTTTCCTGATGTTCTCCTAAGATATCGTGACTGTCAAGGTTGACCGAGCTGCGTGTGAGGACAAATACTCGAGTAATCCTTGCAATATGAAGCTCCTGTGTGTGTTTACTGCTTGGGGGATGCGAAGAAGCATGATACGGCCACCAAGTACTTCCTGCTTTCCAATAGTCCTTCGGAACATGTTAGTTACTGCTCCGTCATCAAAATCATATTTATGTGTCATCATCGTGCATTTCCGGCTTCTCTCTCTCTCTGATGTGAAAGCAGTAGGTTGCAAGGAATAAATAAAAGCGTCTGACCTCTATGATTCAGCGCTATGTATGAGCAAGTTGGCTTCATCATAATTCGGTTTCGCGGTCAGCTGAAATGTTTCCTGATACCGATATTATGTTGAACACCTTTTGGATCACTTTACACTTTCCTGATGCATGCGTGGAACAAAGATAACATGACACCTCAGGAATGAGTCTTTTACGACACTATGCAATTCTAGTTGCGACATAATAACATTCTATTCAATCATGCCTTCTATTCAATTGTTACAATGATTATTGTTTCCAACGTTAAGAGTTTGAAACGTTGTGGGTAGTTGTGATCTGGTCACACAGGAATAAGATCATGACAAAATATCTGTTTATATATGACACTGACCAATCCCTTTCAGCGAGAGAGTTGTGCAGCATTTTAATGAGAGAAGATTTGCACAATAAAATGTTGATTCACCAATGCATTTTAACTTCAGTTTATTACATTGGTTATTTCGAAACAAGATGGTGATGCTCACAGTCCAGTTGTGTCACTTCTCACCTACCGAATACTCGTCATTAAATTTCACTTCACCACAACATCCCAAATGAATCACCTCCATATAACAATTAATTATAAGAAAAAGACACAAACAGGAAATAAAATTTTCTTTTCGACGATTCATTTTCACGAGCTGTGCAATCGTAATTATAATTAACACAGAAATCTTTACAACAATCAGATAATGGTAAACTTTCTCCATGAAAATTGTACTAGATAAGGTAAGATGTAAGAAGTGATGACTAAATGTAAGTTAGAAAGGAGAGAGAAGTTGGCATGTCTTAACAAGTGTGAGGTAATGACTAATCAATCAGCTCGTGTAGCATGGACAGGAACTAGTGGAAAGGCTATAAAGTGTTTTTGTGTAAAATCTGTATGAAAAAGTAATGTTATTAATAAACAGTAATAGAGTGGTAGTAAAATGTGGATGGTGGGAATAATAATGATAATAAAAGTATTAAGAACAACAGTAATAATAATAGTGAACTTACATATTAAAAGAAAGAAGCACAATTACAGTAAAACCTTTACTCTAGCCATGGTAGGGCGAGAGAATGTATGTATCGCTTTTGTATGCACAGGTCCGGTTTCAGATCTCGAATAGCTAATACCTCAGCTATGTACAGATGGCGTATCTGAAGTCCCTTTGTACGATACTGAGGGACTTTGTGCAACACTGTGAAGCATTCATGCAAGTGGGCAGCGCTCGATGTCCGGAGATGACAAGGTGATCGAGGATCGAGCTGTTGCCATTCTTCTTTTCTCCTTTGGTTGGCTAACGAAGCTGGACAGTGTTCCAGAATAGGATTAGACTGGATTAATTGTCTGCAGGAAAATATGATACGTAGAGTGGCTGTTGGAAATGTCTTCTTAAGACTTTTAGAAAGGCTGTTTCTGTGAACTTCCTCTGCGATATCACCTGGATATCCATGGTGGATACCTATTGTCTAGTAGGGTTTCACGTAATAAATTTAATTCTTTCTCTTCCACGTCTTCCGATCAGATTTTTTAATCTTTAAAAACAGAATGTACGTACCAAGTTTCTCTTTTGGATCAGTGGAACAAAGCTCTGGAAGTTGATAAACTGTCCAGTCCACGTTGGCTTACGGTTTATCGATTTTTGGATCGTACATTAGTGTCTTCTGGTGAGTACTACATCGAGGAATGGAAATGAATTGTTCGATTCGTGTTCTAAGGTGAATCTTATTGATGGATTCGCTGCGTTGAAGATTTTGAGGAGAGAATCTAAATCACATTTTTCGTCACAGATTATAAACACATTATATACGTATCTTTTGCATAATTGCAGTTGACTCATCAAGGGACCAAGGATGCTGTTTTCGAGACTTGCTATGAAACAGTCGGCTAGGATGGGACCGAGAGGAGACCCCACGGCTACTCCATCTTTCTGTACATAGAACTGTTCATTGAATTTGAACTGGATATTAAACGTACATCTGAGAAGAAGTTCCTTCAGGTAGTTTATAGGGAGAGGAACTTCTAGGTTGTTGGTTTCGATGTAATTACAGATGAAGCATATTATTTCAGTTGGGAGGATACTTGTGAATAGAGAGGCGACATGTAGTGAGATCATTTATCTTTCAGATACGTTGACATCCTTCACTGAGTTGATGAAGTCAAATGTTTCTCTGAGGCTATATTTTGGTGATTTGGTGATATGGTGAGTTAACCATGTCTATGACCGGTCGAAGTGGGACATTCTGCTTATGCACTTCGTCCGATATATATGTTGTGATGGGATAATTCTTTGGAAAATCCCTCCTCAAAGATACATTTACAATATTGATATGTATTTGGATGTTTGTACTCTAACTGTAATTATTATCGGTTTTCCATCTACATTGTATACCGTTGTTCTGATATTTGCATGCTCATATGTTGACTTGGTCCTTATCACTTGTCTTTATTCCTGTTTAATCTAGGAATAATAATGCCAATGTTTGCGGTTGTGATACGATATGATTTTGTTTTAATGAGTCGAATCATTCTGACCTTGAACTGTCAGAGGGAATTGTTTGATATGTTTGATTCTAGTCAACATTTTGTTGTAAATATTCAGCTTGTTTCTCAAATATTTCTTAGGGTATTTAAACAATACTTATTTTGTACCTCAAAAATTCTCGAAATGTACAGCTGACTAACAGCACTGTTTGTGTCATTTTGCGTGTGTGTTTGCTATGTTATCATTATTGTTGTTTAATAGTACCGCGAACAAAGCTTGGAATGGCAGTCACCACTCCACCTCACTCAACTTCATCGACTTTGAAAAGACCTTCGATAGTGCAGTGTCGATCGAGAGGTGATTTGGAAACTACTTCGCTACTACGAGGTTCCACCGACAATTATACATCTCATCCAATAGTTATACGACAATGCTGCATTCCAAGTAATCCACAACGGGAAAATTACGGAATCCTTCGAAGTGAGGACGGGAGTGAGACAAGGCTGTCTACTATCACCAATGATCTTCCTGACTGCAGTAGATTGGATAATGAGACAGACAGACGGCGAGCAGCGAGGAAACAGGCATAAAATGGACTCACACAAAAAACGAACTTGGAGGATCTGGACATCGCCGATGATATATGTCTGATTT